ACGGACACAAGAGCTGGCCACAGCAGCATGTGTGTGCAGTCTCAACGCTGCGGAAACAGAGGTAGAGCTCTAGAACTCGTTGGCTTAGCCGTCATAGCTGAATTCATGAGCTCCAGGGTTAGTGAGAGACCTTATCAAAAATAAATAAATAATAAAGTGGACAGTGATCAGGGAAGACACCCAACTCTGACTGCTGGTCTCTACCTGCATGTACACACACCCATGCACACACCCATACAAACGTGTTTACACCACACACACACACACACACACACACACACACACACACACACACACACACACGATGGAAACAAATTTTAGCGCCGTTTTCATTTTACTGAGGTAGTAAAATGGTTTTCTCTTGCATATCACTGAGAGTGCGTTCCTTGAGGAAGATCAGGTTCGGCCCAGGTGGTGCACTCACGATCACTGTGACATGCCTGCCCTGAAAACTGAAGTACACACACCTACCTCGAGACCTCTTACTGATACTTCTGGTACAATACCACGAACGTGGAAGTTAGAACTGGAAATACTGAGGTCTTCGTCACCACCTCTGGGATCCTAGCAACGTCCTTAATCTCTGAGCTGTGACTCCCTGGACTGTAATTTGGAAACGGAGGAGGATTTAATGAGACAGCAGGTAAAAGGACCTGGAAGAGCACCAGCAACTCCACTACTGCCTCCTCCTCTTCAGAAACACCACTGGGCCTGGACATGGCACCAAGTTCAACTGTCCATGACTCCTGAGGTCACTGACTTCCAAAGCAGGAGAGCAGACTCATGTTTTGAAGCTATCCCTAAAATTCCCTGTTTTTTGTTTTCGTTTGTTTGTTTGTTTCACAAGAACATTAAAGACTGAGATCATTCAAATCACCGAGAGTTCTCTGTCTTTGAGTTCCCATATTACATGCCCAGGAATATATTCCTGCCCACCCAGAATTCACCCATTCAGTGAAGTCAACACACACTCAAACTGTAACTTCCAACAAAAACTCCTTCTCCTCTCTGTTAACCCAAGTCTAATTTCACCACGGAAAGAAACCTCCCTTCAACGGAGTAAACTCGGCCTCTCCGTTTTAAATAATGTCCATGTTGTTACCACAATGCCTCCAACGGAAGTATGGCGAAATTTTTGACATGGATGTGAACGGTACCTGCCCCGTCACATACTAGAATTAAATGTAGCTATGCTGTAAGTCTGGTAATCTCTGGACCCAAGATATGCCATAGCAATCCCCAGTCTGTGAATATGACCAGATACACTATCCAAACAATTCAACATCTTCATGACCTTTACATGGACTTAGATGCTATGATTCCTGCTTATTTGGCAAACGATAAAGGTTGACTAGGTCGCATCTGCTTGTTCTCTTATTTCAATAATGCTTGTTTATATCATAAAGCGGTTCTGAAATTAAGCAATATATGCAGAACCCTTACAACAGTGTCTGTTGCGCAGCAGGTAGTGGCCATCACAAATACTCCTGTAATGTTTACCATCTTCACTCACGTTAAGCAGCTTATTAACTAAATCCTCACAACTGAAGTAGGCACTATCATGATCCCATTCTATGGATGGAAGAAGACCTGACATATTAACTGTGCATTAACCACGAAAACAAAATTACCAACGTGACTTAGAACACCAACAAAGCTCACTGCCAGCCACAAGGAAATAGTGGCACTGTCAGCTACAGCTATGGCAAAGATTCCTAGTCTTGGCTATCCTGGATTCCACTCTCTCTCCATTTTTCTCTGGTGAGGCCACCAGGAACCTGTCCTACAGTTAACTGTCAAGTCCCTTCATCTTCATGTATCATAATCTGTCTGACCGACTACTACTAATCAAAAGCAGTTAATTAGTACTGTTGACACAAGGAGATCATGAGAATGCAAGAACCCTGCTAGGCTTTGAAAATAATTCACACGCAATGCATTGTGGTCGGTTCTTCCTCTACGACTTACAACAGGATTAACAACCAGAAATTGTGCCACGCTTCCCAGAGTGAGAATGAGAAACACTCCTCTAGATCTAAGTTTTTAATGTAAGAAACATAATTCCTTTAAATCTGGGTCTGGTTAACTCATTCCTACACACATTATCTTTTATAGATTTAAAAGCGTTTTCGATCAGGCACAGTGGCACATACTTGTAATCCCAGCTAGTTGGGAGACTATGGCAGGACAATCTAACGTTCAAGGCCAGCTTTGGAAACTTTGCAAAACCTTGTCTCAAAATGGAAAATCAAAAGGGCTGATTGTAGCTCCACTCAGAGTCCTTGCTTAGTATTCACAAGGTCCTGGGTTTGATCCCCAGTACTACAAACACCACAAAACAAAAAAGCACACATTTAGAGTAGAGGTCCAGATACTTCACAGGACTGTAAAAAGGCCTGTGACACACAAAAAAAGGATCCCTAGGGAGTTAAGGCACAGAGAGGATGCCTGGTGACGCCCAACCAACAGAACCCGAGAGGTGGCAAGCAAATGCCGGTCCAGGCAGTGGTGAGCCTTGAGGAAACCTCTGAAGGTCTGCAGAAGGAGGGAAGTTCTGGGAGATGCTGTTCCAGGGGAAGCCAGCTCTCTCTTGGAAGACTTCCACCAAGAACCATTCAAGTTTCAGGAAAGTCAGAATGTGGTCTAAAAGCACTAGGAATTCACCACACACAGACACACACACACACCAGGGCTGTGGTCTAAAAGCACGAGGAATCCACCACACACAGACAGACAGACAGACACACACACACACTCCCTTCCCACTCCCTACCCTTTCTCACACACACACACACACACACACACACACACACACACACACACACACACACAGCAAGTATACTATTACACCCATTTCATAAGAGGAAGTAACTGAGACCAGAGAGTAAGTTAACTTGTTAAGGGCACCAAACCGGTGGGTACTGACCCGAGAATCACATTCCTGCCTTTATCTCTACCCTCCCATGCCATCTCCTCTCCCTTAGAGGGCTCCCTCCCTCCATTTCATCTGATTCGTCTAAATTGTAACAGAACAAAAATGAAAGATTCGAGCTCTCCATAACTATTTATTGACAGGGTTATGCCTGGACCTAGCGTCTCATTTTCTGCTGTTCCCCCTCCCCCGGCCCTATACCAACATGTATGCTATCTTTTGATAAAGATCCGATTTCCCTCAAGTCCACAATTGTGCAATTTCATCAGGAAAGTTCTCCAATCAGTACGGCTTTGAGTGTGGTCTCCAGCATATTCCCTATCAGCCAAAAAAATTGAGGAATCTGCTAACAATTTATGGTAAGAACTTTGGACAAAATCTGTTAACAAATCTCTACTGCTCCCCACAACTGCACCTCATTTCATCTGTTCCTTCCTTATTAGTTAACGAGTGCTCAGGTGTGCTCCAACCATATTCAAGATAACTAAGTAAACAGTGTTCCAAAGACTCCTGGGACATAGACTTCTATGGCCACCTGGCCATAAAAAGAATACAGGGGCCAAAAAGCCTTGAGAGGTAGTCATGGAATTATCAGTAACAACTCCAGGAGAATGGTAGAGAATAAGATCACAAATACCACTTCTATGCAGTTTTGAGACTGTGCGACTTATTGGAGATCTACCTGTTAACTTTCTGGAAGAATCTGGGTAGAAGGATATCGGGGTACAACCTTGTGGTTGTCCGTTTTAGAGTCTTGATTTTTTTAATGTAAGTAGAGACTTAACACAGATCAGGAAAGTCAATAACTAAACTATTTTCGTTGCCCAAGTTAAAAAATTACTACATCCAGTATGTTCTGTTTTCTGTATTTTTTTTAAAAAAGCATTTATAAAGAAAAAAATGTACGTGGTTCTCAGTTCAAACAAAACAAGTCAAACTTTTGAGTAATCATGTAAACAAACACGGTTCAACGTCCTGGCTTCCAAGGGGGACAGAAGTTCCGAGAGCACTTCCCTCCACTCCAGGAATGCCTACACCAGACTCCAGCTCTGAACCCCAGGTGGTGACTCTTAGGACCTGTTGCAGAATTTCTCAATCGAGCAATTTTGCATCCCCCCCCCCCCCCCCCCCGTTGTACCTCAAAGGTAGAAAGTACCGGGGAAAGCTAGGAACGACCCATTGGAATTTCACTCGGGGTTTCTTCTACAGTCAAGATCCCGTGCCTGGCGGGCAGAGACCACCGAACAAAGGCGATGGCCCGGAGCTCCGTTCCGCGGCAGGGGAAGAACTGGGGCTGGGTGGGGGGGAGGCGGCTGTGGAGGCGCCTACCACCCACCCTAGAGCACCCCCACCCAGATCCCGAGAAGCTCGGCTAGGCTGGTCATGCACACCCACTCGGGGTCCAGGAGCACCGGAGCTTCTAACGCCCTCCTACCCGAAGGCAAGGGGAAAATCGACCCGGGGAGGGAGCCTAAGGCTACAAAAAAAGAGGAGCCGGGCAGCCACGAGAAACTCCCCAGCTCGCCTCTTCCCCAGGTCACCGGGGATGATTGACCTGCCCCCCCACCCCGCGAGGACAGGAGGTCCCAGGGCAGGGATGGGCATGGGGCGACAGCAGGTGTGCTAGAGGACCCCAGGGCAGAAGTGGGAGGATGGGTGGGAGCACCGTCGGGAGCAGGGGTGGAGATGACAGGGATCGCGGGGCGGCGCGGGCTGCCTGGGACTCACCCGAGAGGGAGGCGGGAGCACGCGGCGAGCGGGCGGAGCTAGCGAGGCCGGGGAACCGAGGACACCCGCGAGCGGATCGGGGGGGAAACCGGCGGCAGCGCGCGCGCGCGCCCGCTTTTAAAGACTCGCCGTGGGGGCGTGGTCCCGCTCGCTCGCCACGCCCACCGCTCCGGCCACGCCCACCGCGGGGTCCCGGCCGGCTCGCACAGCTAGGCTCCCGCGGCCGGTGCCCAGCTCTGGCCCAGAGACAAAAGACCGGAATCCCGCCTCTTCCTGCGGCTTCCCGCGCACCGGCGGCTCTTCCCCACCCAGTCACCTCCCCATCCCCAGTCGTCCCTACCCTCCGCGTCCGGAGCTGCCTGAGCACTCGGAACCGGCCCGGAGCCACCGAGATCGGGTGTGTCGCCGCCCCACGGGGTTCCCGCCACCCTCTGCGAGGCAAAGGCCACATGATGGACTCCGGGGTGCAGGACGCCCCGGTGCAGGCTTGTCTCCGGTCGGAGTTGCAGCTTCTGGAATCCACAGCTTTCCTGTCGTGAAAGAGCAACATTCCTCGTCTAGACTAAACAGATGACGTTGTGAAAACACCTCATTCCCCAAGTGTTTTGCTTTCCCCGCCGCTGATGGCTGAAGTAGGGAAGAAGCCCACAACCCACGCAGAAGCCCTGGCGCCAAAGGGCTTCGGGTTTCGGTTTGCCATTGTCAGAAAAGCCCAAGGAGGCCGCTGCCGGCGATGACAGCAGAAAGAACCCAAAAACCTGGTCTTGAGGATGACGTATTGTTTTAGACAAAAAGGAAATAATGTTGCCTCCATCTGGTTTGCATTCCAGGACTTCTGGTGATCCATTTCTCTGCCATCAGTAGTGGGTTGGCCTAAGAATTAGTATTTGAAGATTGGTGACCCCCAATAGGCAGCGGTCAAAACCACTCCCTCCTGTCAAAAATCAATCACCCCTTCTATTCAGGCGCGACACCAGGCCATTAACAGGCTCGTTGATTCTTTGGTGGAGGTTAAGGGGGCGATGTAGGATGCCTTTACCTGCTAGATGCCAGTAGATGCCAGTACCCTCACGTTGCTACGTTACAAAAATGTCCCGCTTACATTGCCAAAGGCCCTGTTTGGGGGAGAGCAGGGTTGAGAAACGCCCTTCTGGGGTGTATGTCTGTGTGACAAAGTGCAGACCTTGGTTTATGGTACTCTTTTATGCTGTATGCTGGGCCCAATCCAGAATAAACCCATAATTGCAGCCAGATTCTCTGTCCACCAAGTACTGTACAAAAATGCTGCACATGGTGATTGGCATCTCCCGAGAATTGCGGCAGGAGTTTGAAAGTGTGGGTGCCTGCTGTGAGCTTTCCTAAAAATGGCAAGTCTTATGCTCAGGGTTCCAGTCTGTTTCCTTTACCCCCTCAGCTTTACTGTTCTTACCTGAGTAGCTGGTGGTTTTGTTTTCACTGAAGGAAGCTGGGTTGTCGCATTATGTGAATACTTGTTTTTCAGCAAGCGATTGTCTTTTTTCCGGCTACTCCCGAGGTCATCTAGAGTCTCCTTGTGGAAGGGGCCTCAGGACCTGACCTGTTGCCTTTCTGTCAAACTATTTGATGGCTGAAAAAATAAATAAATAAAGGAAGGAGAGGACGTGACTGCTCCTAGGTATGGTGGAGGAGAACGTTTATTATAGATCTGTGGGAGAGCATAGCCAGAGGCAGGAACATCTGGAAGAGTCCTGAGTGGACATGACCAGACTGAGCTGGGCCACGTAGGGAGAGGGTGAGGACAAGGTACAGCAGCCAGGAGGTCAAAGGTATTAAAGGGATGGGTAACCAAAATGTCTGAATTATATACGGAAGAGCCTCCGGGGGAAGGGCAGCCCAGCCTCAGGGCTGGAGAGTTCAGGACAGAGGATGGGATAGGCCAGACATACCCTATAACAGGTAGGGGCTGAGGGATGCTGGGAGAACCTGGTGGCCAGGTCTGCTTTGACTTTTTAAATAGGCACCTCAGACTTTCTAAACCTGAATTTCGGTTGTGAACGTGAACAAATTCTTTTCAACTTTTAAAGATGGAAGTGTGGTAAGAAAAAGTGTGGCTTTCGTGTGGAAGATGTGGCTTCGACGTTCAGCTCTGCAGTGGGCTGGCTGGGTTCTGAAATAGCCTCTCAGGCACTGGTTCTCAATCTTCCTAATGTTGCAACCCTTTAATACAGTTCCTCATGTTGTGGTGACCCCAAATCATAAAATGATTTCGTTGCTTCTTCACAACTGTAATTTTGCTACTGTGATAAGTGGTAATGTAAATATCTGATATGTAGGATAACTGATATGGGATCACTGTGGAAGGGCCGTTCCACCCCCAAAGGGGTCACAACCCACAGAATAAGAAACACTGCTCTAAGGCCTGGGTTAAAGACTTTGTGCCCATTGGGACAAAGTGGGACTTACAAGAAGTAGGGCCTGGTGAAAATCTAGGGTCATTAGGAGTGTGCCCTCAAAAGGGATTGCAGATCCTGATCTCTTCCTCTTCATTCGCTTCCCAAGATACCCTGAGAGCACGGAGCTTCCTTTCCCACGTGCTCTGAGCTATGATGTGCTGTGTTCTTTCACCATAACTCCCAAACTATAAACCCAAACAAACCTTTGTTCCTTTGTTTTGAGATGCTGGGAGTCCCATCCAGGGCTTTGCATGACCTAAGTGTGTGCTGTACCACCAAGCTACATAAGAAAAACTTTTCTCGTGTGAATTGATTTATCTTAGGTATTTGCAGTAATCCCTTACTGCCACCCGGTAACTCTGTGAGCTTGGGATAAGTATTTAACCTATCTGTTGTTTTAGTCATGTTATGCCCAGATTGCAGGGACCCCCAAAAGACCAGCACGGAGACTGAATCCCTTTTGTAAAAGCAAAGAACCTAAGCTGGGCACGCACCTTTAATCCCAGCAGTCGGGAAGCAGAGCCAGGCGGATCTCTGTGAGTTTGAGGCCAGCCTAGTCCACAAAGCAAGTTCCAGGAAAGGCGCAAAGCTACACAGAGAAACCCTGTCTCGAAAAAACAAAAAACAAGACAAAACAAAACAAAAAAGCAAAGAACCTTTATTTTCAAGCTCAGAGTTTGGGCTCTCTGTCTGACACAGCAGTAAGAACAGGGAGCTCAGAGCCCAGGCAGGGTGGAGTTTTTGTCATGGCAGAGGTTGGGGTGAGGGGATTTCCATGATTCAGGACCCTGAACATTTGTCTAGGGATATAGGGAATGTTTGGAATGTCAGGTATTTCCTCTTAGATGCAGGCCCCACTGGGTGGGGTCAGCCTATGGCTCTTCCTGGGTCCAGGTGTTACTTGCCAAAAGCTGTGTCTGGGCCTCTAAACCTGTCATGGCAGCTGTGTGGTCAAGCTGTTTTTGGGCTCCCCCCCCCCGCCCCCCAGTCACTGTTCTATTGCTGTGAAGAGACTCCATGATCAGGGCAACTCTCACAACAAGAAAGCCTTTAAATGGGGGCTGGCTTACAGTTTCAGAGGTTTATAGCCCATTATCATCACGACAGGGAGCACGGTGGCATGCCCGCATGGGGCTGGAGAAATAGCTAAGAGCTACATCCTGATCTGCAAGCATGGAGAAAGAGGTACAGGGCCTGGCGCGGGCCTTTGAAACATAGAGCCCACCCCCCAGGGACACACTTCCTCCAACAAGGCCACACCTCCTAGTCCTTCTCAAATAGTGCCTCTTGCTGATGACTAAGCATTCAAATATATGAGCCTATGGATGATAGGAATTTCAACCATGCCCCATGGTCGCTGTGCCTGGCGGGACACTTAGATGATTCCGCCTAGTGACCCACGCCCCATGGTTATGAGGTCATGTGCTGTACGTGACCTTGTGATCTCTGTACCTCTGTACGAGCCTGTGTGCGCAGGTGCGACCTGGCCTTTATAAGGTGGTGCCATGATCTCTCTCTCTCTCTCTCTCTCTCTCGTGTCTTTCCACAGGCCTGATCACATCTATCCCTTTGTCTTGATAAAACTCTTGTTAGTGGATTCTGTCGAGTGTTGTGACTTTTCCTTTGGGGCGAGAGCACCGTGAAAACCATCAATAGAGACGATTCTTATTCAAAGCACCATTATCTGTAAAATAATGCTACGCATCTTGTAGATGAACAAATCGAGTGGTATATGTAAAATGCCAAGCATAGCGCCTGGCCCATGGTAAATACTCGTTGAATGACTGTTATGTTAGGAACGGATATCATAAAATCTGTTTTTGCTTCTGTTGAGAAAGAAACAGATGATGCCTTTTGCTAACCAGCCACGATGCCTCCTTAAAGGTTCTGTAGTAGAAATGTATGAAGTGTTCTCTAAAACAAATAAGAGACTTCATAGAAAAAAATCCGTGTGCCTTGAGAAGGGCTAGTTGGAAAAATGTGCCCTTGTGGGTGAGAATGAGTCCTATTTACTGCTGCGTACATAGTCCTTGTCTGTCTGACCCTTTCAACCTTGAAGGCAAAATGGAGAGTTAAAAAAAAAAAAACATCTAGAAGGAGGTTTCATTTTCCCACTCAAAACACATGGTATCTTTGTAACAGATTCTTTGTTATCTGGAACCAATTTTCAGTCAAAATTCTGTGTCAAGGCCAGCGTCCTGAGGCAATTCAAACAGAGGTTGCGTTTCTTCATAACCTTGTGCTTGAAGCTGAGATTTTTCACATAGTTCCATTGTTTTCATTTCTTGCCACCTTCCCTCAAAACGTTCAATCAGATGGCTGTGAACAGAAGCCCAAGGCCTCTTTGTTTTAAGGCCAAGCGTTCTTTCCTAGAAGCCAGCGAGGCTTGATGGAGAGGAATTTTTTAGTGCATTCTCATCTAAGAGGGAGAGTTCTCATTTTGCTAACGGACAGCACAGAAAACAACAAAACAAAAACAAAACAAAAACACAGCCGCTCTCTGGTGTAGCCAAGGTTTAGTAGCAATGGCGGCGATTTTAACATGTTCATGCCCAACGGTGACGCTCATTGAGGCATTTTCTGACAAAGGAAACAAGTTTCCTATGCTTGAATTCTGAGATCGGAGAATCTCATTTTAGGTACTTGTCATGGTTGTGAGTTTTTAAATCTTCCACAGCCTCCTGCTGCCTCATACATGCTTCTTTTTCTAACCCGGTCTCATCAGTGGGTACTGATTGCCTTTCGTTACCATGTTATTTTTGCCTTCTTTTAGACAGGGGCTCCCCATGCATTTTTCGTCAGAGTTGAGTTCAGCTCTACCCGTGTGAGAAGGTGACTCATTTCATCTCTGTTATCATAACCTCTCGAATGCTGTCTCACTGTTCTCTGTTGTTTTTAATTCACGGCATCAGCTTCTTCATTGACATCCAGAGTCACCAGGCGACATCACCTCAGCCTTCATCCGCTGTGTCTCAAAATGTCTGTCTACGTTTTCTCTAGAGTTTGTATTGACCATCCCTGGTCTTGGGAGCATGTGTGGCTTTCCCACTTCAGATTCTCCTTTGACTGTTTCAGTGTTTGGTGTTTCTTCTTGTCTGGTTTGGGTTGGTTTGAGCCGTGTCTTGTTACAGTATACAGGCTGTTGGCAAGTTCCTGGGCGTAAAGTGTCTTCCTGCCTCGATCTTACAAATACTGGGACTACAAGTGTCTACCATCATGTCTGGTTTACTTTGCATTCTTTAATCCTGTC